GTGACGGATGACACTATCTTATGCGACCCATTTCCTATGCAAACATCTGCACATAAACTAAAAGGTTAATCCTAAACAAACTTATTAAAAATACACCTTTAGGATGCATATATGTGAATCCGCGCATGCAGCTTAACCAAGGCATAATGTATCGGAATCAAGATAAACTATTGAATTATAAGACAAATTTGGGGAACAATGCGATTACAGCACTAGCCCATCCTAGAATACAACAGAAAGACATGAGGAAGGCCTTATTTGAAGAAGTCTACCACATGTCCTGACGACGGTAGAATGGGGATTTATACCCTCACTACAGAGACCCTTTAAATGCATGCAGCTTTTGTGCACTAAGTGAAGTGAACTTGAATTGAGGTATATAAAGAAAAGCAGATTCCTGACAGGTCAACTGATCTTGTCGAGTAAACAAAATTTGGCCGATTCGCATTTCTCTCAAGAAAACATATTGCGCTCATAACTATTAACTCACTCAGACTGCTGTGGTTTGAAGCAAAGTCCGTACTCGAAGCGTTAACGCGAGGTGGAGGATGATCGCCTGAGCTGCGTATTTGTCCGGGCGGTCCAAAAATGGCAGGACGAGGACGAGGCGAGCTGAGAAGAGGTTGATTAGCCGCCCCTAAGCAGAGTGGAAGTGATGGTAGTGGTGGAGAGCCAGAAGAAAGGGATGTTTGAACTAGACCCCTGTACGAGCCAAGGAGACAACTCGAAAGAGGAGCAAGACCTAAAGAGCAGATTGAGCCAATTATTACAATTAACATCATGCTACTGGAAAGTAGTGTGATTAAAAAGCCTGAAATCTCATTGAAATTTAAAAAAGACAACTACCAGTTGTAGCATAAAATTATAAAATGGGAAGGTATGAAGACCAAGATGGTGTGGCCCTTTGTGTGGTCGCGGTCTCCTTTCGTTGTATAGAAGTTGTTTGACCTTGTTTTCGCTACTTGGTCATATTAATAGGAAAACTTAGAGGAACGTACCTTGTCCGGAGTCCATTGTATGCATTAACTTTTCCAAAGACAGACCGTGGACGTGGTACATTCCCAGACGTTTCGCCGGCATCGTAGTCAGCATCGTCAGTGAGTCTCGCCATTCGTAGCACCATATTACAACTCGTAAAAGAGACAAGTGAAGCTCATCTTTTGGCCAAACGTGTGCTGAACTCCGGACAAGGTGCGTTCCTTTAAGTCTTCCTACCAATATGATCGAGTTGCGAAAACAAGGTAAAATAACTTCTATAAAATGGGAAGTTGGTTGACCTCGTTGTTGCAACTTGGTCTTGTTGTCCGGGCGACTTAGTAGAACGCACCTAGTCCGAATTCCCCTGCCATACTAAGTGTCATAATTCCCAGCATCATACAGTGGACTTGGTCTAGTAAAAAAGCATATAAAAGGGGACTTTCATTTCCGATGAAAGTGCAAAATGAAGAGATTCGTTAGTAGATCTTAGCGCGAGACGACGGCCGATTCCCGTTGTGCCGCTGACATGTTTGGCTTTAATAAGACGCTCATTATACAAGATATCTTCACTAGTTTTGGGTGAAACTGAGCTGAGCTCTCGTCCATCAAATGGCTGACACGGTCAGAGCTGGAAATAATTCTCCTCAAATAAGCACTCATCTTCATGACCTTGACAAGAATGAGTTACAGCTCCGATAACATTTAGAGTATGACGAACGAAATATCAGTCTGGCTTCGCTCGAAATGAGGGATAATGTCTCGTGTACTGTGAATGTGAATGTCGTATTAAAGCCAAACGGCCACAAAAAACGGCAATTGGCCCTTCCGATGAGATCAACAAATGAATATCTGTATCATGCGCTCGCATATGAACTGAAAGACTCTACAACAGTGTCAATTTAAGAAGTATACCAATACCCAGCTACCATTCTTATATAAAATGCCTACAACTAAACCTAAATAGAAATTTTTAAATATATAAATAGTCTTGTAAGAGCTAAGCCTAATAACGGACCAAAGAGGTAAAAATAAGGGATTTTACAATTTTAGCTGAAAACATTGAAGGTTTGGTTGGAGCAATAGTATATAGAACAGATTGGATTCTGTGAGTACATCGTTTTTTTAATTTTTCGTAATAAGGATGGGGCACCTTTATACTGATGAAATCTGGATGAGATGAAGACTGCAGTCCATTTTGGATAAGAAAACCCCACGTACAGAGTATATTCGAAGAAAAGTTGGGTTTCGAGGAGTCTCTTGATTCATAATTGTTGAGCTTACTTTCATTTCTAGCGAGTCTTTGGTGAAGAGATTCGAAGGTCGATCCAACCAAAATACGACGGCGGATCTCTTTTTACCAGCTGTCGATTGGCTTAACTGGAACATTCATCTGACGTTGTTTCCGAGGTAATCTCCTTCGATTCCGTTCAAAGCGTACTAAGCTTTCGTCCGTCGTATGACGAAGAACATCAGAGCAGGGTATTATGCTTACAGCCAAATTCAAGCCAGAGTCAAGAATACTCATCGGTTCATCCCTAAAATACTGTATATATATTCTATAACTGAGCTCTTTGATATGGTATAAAGCGATTTGTTTAGTTCCATTCATACCTAAACCTCCGAGCATGTGAGAGTGTCTATCACAGTATGTGTTCGCATTTGTACGAAACCAGCAGTGATGGCTCAAAGTAATTAGGACAGCAAAAGTAATGTCTGTTCTCGGCCATCAAGGTTTAATGACCACCATCACCTCCTCTTTCTTTATATATATTTTCTTGACTTGTTAGCTTGAATATGGTTGTAAGGATGATGTTCTTCATACGATAAACGAAATCTTAGCCTGTTTTCATCGTAATCGAAATAGAATGCCTAGAAAACAGCGTGAACAAGAATGTTCCAGTAAAGCCAATCGACAGCTGGTCCGGAGGAATACGATGTCGCCTTCGGAGGGGATCGACCTTCGAATCTCTTTACCAAACACTTTCACTCGGAATGGAAGTACGCCCAACAATTAAGCAAACCTTAATGAAAAGTATGGAAAATCGTATGGCTTGCTCAGTTTATAGCGGAAAATTCAACGATCAAGTCAAGTTCTTATTCAAGCTGTGCTGATAATTTCAAATCATATTAATTCAGTATTTGTTTTCAATTTAATCAGCATCATCTCGGCAAGAGACTAGTCTGAGATGAAAACAATCGCCCTAACTTCAGGCAAAGCTGGTGCTTTGTCTATTTTGATGACACAACCTCACTTTCTCAACTTGATCGTGCTGTCGGGGCGACCTGTAACAGCGTATCTCATTCAGCACACTTTACCAAGGATAGTGATTATAATTTCCAACGCCGGACAATTGGGAATGTACCAAGTGCCCGGTTGGATCCTGTAAATTATCATGACTACTTTGACCGAGGATGCCGAGATCAGCCTGACAACGCGGCCATGTTATGAAAACCAGGTGAAAATTATTAATAGTCACTATCATTCTGCCGGGAGGCAATACCACCAGCAGAAAGGTACATAATTCTGGTCAATGCTAGCCCCACAGACGGCGGCTGTTGTGCTCAAGAGAGCATGATCGAAGTGAAACATGGGGCAAAAGGGAGGTGATGAAAAAGGTTGGCTTTGACTTGATAACAACCATTTGTGTAGGGATAGTGGAGGAAAGCTTTTATGAACTGGCTCCGCTCGAACATGATTTGAGACCCTACTTGAAATATCGTGCATGTGTGAGTGCGTGGCAGAGACGCAGTCGTCGTCTTGACAGCACCCAATTAAATCTACGTCAAGATGTCATTAATCGTGTCGCAATAGAGATCTTCTTCACCATCCATACACTAATGGGGTCTTAGCCATTGTATTACATTGAGATGACTTGAAATGGATTGAGTTGACTTGAGGTAGGTGTAAGGTCGGATGACGGAATATGGTGGTGGCTCAACGCATTTTCTTTTCGTCTCCTTCTCGAGCCAACCCTTCTGACTGACGGGATGGACGATAGGAGGTGATATTCGCTTGTCCAAGTTGTCTTAGGGCCACGTCTTAAGGTGGATCAGATGGAAGACTTGCTTGTTGGTTGAGAGCAAGTCTGTTTAGGGTCTGGTTTCATCGAGGAATTAGTTGCTGTGCCATCTTTACTCACTCCTTAGTCCCAATTTTCTACACTCCTGTTTGGCCAAAGCAATCGAACCGATTGCCCCTTTTCCTTCTTACTTTGGCAGCAATTTCGCGAATTTGACGATCAGGCAGCAGACTTGGAAGGAGTCGAGCAGTCGCCGCACGGAAAGCGCAGTTTCGTCCGGATTTAGGCAGACCAGCAGAATAATGAGCATTTGGCCAATTGTTCAGTGCCGGTTCAACCGCCCCACAACCTTTTGCCTCTTCAAAATATCATCACCAATTGAATGTGATTCAAGATGCACACCGTCAAGGCAGCCAAATAGCCTCTTAGGGCTTGGACATTTGAGTCGGGGATAGAGAAAGAATGAATGGGAACCGTGTCGGGGGGAGAATAGGGCAATGTACTTCCAAGACCAGTCTGGACGACAGTTTCAACCTCGTCCGGGTTCCTCCAGCTCCCGCAAACGTAACTCGATATGGGAAAACCCAAGTACCAGTCTTTAGCTCACCTTAAGCGACCTTGGTTGACTAAATTCTTATTCAAGAATCACTAAAAGTCTCATAACTAAAAGTGAGCAGACTGGAATTGGCCGATTCACTTGACAACAACTCGCAGAAATTAGGCTGAGTCGTCGACTGCAATGACAAACTCATGTTTGATTGTGGACAGACTCAACAATTAGTCCCTATGCGACTTGGATGAATAAGTTTTTATTGAAGCATTACTGAAAGTCTCGAATGTTTCTCATGTCGAAGATGAGTAATCGAAAACACTTTTGATTGTTGGAAAACTCAACTATCCTCCATAAAAGGCCTTAAGCCAGCCCGATTGACTAAGTTCTTCTTTTTCGTATGTAAGTAGACTTTAGAGACCATCAGTAAATCAGTAATATGAGATGTATTCATCCTATTACGTTTAAGGTAATGTGAAAAGAGCTGACGTTTCAATGAATTTCACAGAGTCTCGCTTTCCCAAAAGTTATTCTCATCCAGGCAGGAGTGGACTGCAGTTTTGACCTCGCATAGTTCTCATCAACCCCAAGCGGGAGTCGAACCGTGACAGTGCAGAATGTGAGCTTGACACGCTAACCGCTCGGCCACATTGCCACGAGTGACCTTGCGTCACAGAGCAGATGTGAATTTCAAGGAAGGCCAGGCCTTTTGCCATATCACATTCTTTAGTGGGATTGTCGATGAAGCAAACGTATGTTTGCTATAACAATCGACTAGATTACTTATTTTTCGTGGGAAAATTCTTCTACCAGTCCTTCATCACCTTAAACGAAATTGGGTGAATCATCTCATATTACTGATTTACTTGCAGTCTCGAAACTCTAATTAAATACGAAAAATAAGTAACGTAGTCAATTGTTATAGCAAAAATACGTTTGCTTCATCGACAATCCCACCAAAAAATGTGACATGGGAAAAGGCATGGACTTCCTTGAAATGGACATCTGTCCTGTGACCCAACGACACTCGTGCCAATGTGGTCGAGTTGTTAACGTGTCAAGCTCACATTCTGTACTGCCACAGTTCGACTCCCGCTGTGGGTGTTGATAAGACCGAAGCGAAGTCGAAACTGCAGTCCACTTCAGCCTGAATGAGAATAACTTTTGTGAAAGCAAGGCTACGTGAAATTCAATGGAAACATCAGCTCTACTTATATCATTTTGGAAAAAATTAACTATCAGTCCATCATCACCTTCAACGAAATAGGGTGAATACATCTCATATTGTTGAGCTTACTTCCATTTCAAGTAGAAGTGTTGGGTAAAGAGATTCGAAGGTCGGTTCCACCAGAAGACGACGGCGGATTTCTCTTGACCAGCTG